CATCTTTTTTGTCCTGGAAGATCTTGAACGTGTGTCTAGGGAGAAAAGACTTGGAGAGCCAGCACAGCACCTGAGAAGAAAATAATTATGTGCGGATGTGAGGYTGGAAGCTTTGCTGTGGATGGCAGGAGGAGGTGTGCTCTGAGGTTTCCAGCAATGAAATCAGGAGGTGGAGTTGCWTGTAAGGTTGGGAAAGGCCAGCAGAATATTTTCTTGGCCTAAGTTGGAATTGCAGGACTGGCAGTTTCATCACAGCCCAGCAGAGGAGCYCCTGTAAATAACAGCTGAGCAGGTGAACTGAGGGCAGCTGGGCTGGCTGACAGTGCCTCTGGTGGCCTTSCTATTGATCTGGAGATGGGCAGGAAGCAAATCCCTCATTACCCAGCTTTCCCTCCATTGGATTTTGCTCCAGCCTGGCTGTGAGCTCATCTTATTTCCCTTGATAATGTGTGTGCTGCCAGTGCAAAGCTCYCTGGAGATGGAGAACGTCAGGAGAAAAGGGATTCCTTACAGTGTCCTCTGATTGCTSAGCTCCTTTGCAGTGGCATTTTCTCTCCTGGGTCATAAATCCAGCCTTAACTGCCAACCTTTTATGGGAGGGATCTCTTGCAGAGGGATGGGCTGGTCTTTAAAAACAACAATGGGAAAGTTGTGGAATTGTGTCCTGGGTAATCCTTTGGCTGGCTCCAACTTCTGAACCTCTAAGTTTCCCCTCTGCACTTTAATTTCCCTTTTTGAGATGGGACCCCTTAGGTTTGTTTTTAATGATTAATTGAGGGGTGTTGGGCAAGGTGTTTACTCAGAGCAGTTTGCACCCTAGGCATAGGGTGAACCTGTTTACTGGGAACAGAGTTTTGCTCTTTTTCTCTCTCCTTTTTGTTTATTTTAGAGCTGTGCTGCTTTTGGTGGCAGCTAAACCTATGTGTGTACAGGATTCTGGGTATTTGGAGAGAGCTYTCATATCACTCACCCACTGATATTCTTATTTTTTCAATAACTTTTAAACAAAATATACCTCAACCTGGAAGCAGCTTTGCTTGAGAACCGTGTCTGCCATCTCAAAATTTGCTTTTTGAATTTTCCTCTCCCTCCTCATTTTCCTTTCCCTGAAATATTTTGATGGCCCAACAGAACAAGTGTCATTTGGGTGGGTTGGATATTTGTTTGTTGTTGTTTTGTATTCCTCTGTGTGGGTGTTTGTTTTATTTTTTTATTTCCCCCTGGAAGTGGCTCACAGATCTTCCCAGAGCCTTCTGTTATTCAGGCTGAGCAACCCTAGCTCTTCCAGTCTGTCTTTCTAGGAGAGGAGCAAACAAGAACAGGGAGACAGACCAGTGCCCAAAAGGGCTCCACAGAGCTGGAGAGGGACTTTGGACAAGGGTCTGGGGAAACAGGACAAGGGGGAATGGCTTCCCACTGCCAGAGGGCAGGAATAGATGGGATATTGGGAAGGAATTGTTCCCTGGGAGGGTGGGGAGGCCCTGGCCCGGGRTGCCCAGAGAAGCTGTGACCGAAAAGGTGTTTTAAGGCAGGGTGGGCCAAACTCTTTCATCATTTGCAATCTGAAGCATTGCTCTCATGGCACAATAGATTTAATTAAGGAGTTTGTTTAGCGTTGGAGGGGATTTATGGCAGGTGCGTCAAGTTCAAGTTGACAAAAGGGSCCAATAAACAGAAATGAATCATGAATTAATTATGTATGAGATTTGCTTTTGTAGCAGTGTTTTATCAAAATCAGTGAGGCCCTCAGAGMAATGAACAAAATAAATTGGAGGCTGGTAGAAACTGAGGCTTTGTTCTGCTCACACTGTGTCTTAGGCATAGGTCCTTTGTATCAGACAGAGTGTAGGGGAAAAAAAAGATGGAAAAAATGGCAATAAAATAACATAACCACTTCTAGTGTATCAAAAAAATGAACCCCAAAGTGGAATTGTTTCCAAGGAATATCAGAGGAAATAGGAGGGAGAAGTGTTGCACTGAAGGGAGACTTCCCAGAGGAGGGTGATGCACACCTGAGTCTGAAATATCCAAGAACACTTTGCCATGGATCCCTTCTCCTGTGTCAGATGGGTGCTGGAAGACACYGCCCATTCCAAGCCAATGCATGGAGAAACTTGGCCTGGTTTGGATTTGGAAACTCAGAGCTGGGACAGAATAATCCAGTTTGGACTCTGTGTTTGCCTTTGAAACCAAAACCAAAGACCCTGGGGTCCTGGCAGCCAATGTACCCCTGTGTTGTCGCAGGTCTTGTCCTCCAGGTTCCCAGGAGTTTGCTCCACAGTCTGTGGCAGACAGCGGTGAGATCATGGACTTTGTGGCCTTGCCAAGGTCACTCAGGTCCCTGCAACAGGATGCATTTGCCCCGGGGGAAGGCAATCCATCAGAGCTGCCTCCTCCCCACCCCGTGTTTTGTCTGCTTTGCTGATGGATTAGTCCTGTAACGGGCTGTAGCCTGGCGCAAGGGAAGCTTCTTGTATTCAGCTTGCTTCCTGACTTTCAGTCCAAATTTCAGTCTTTTTGCTAAACAGGTTGGATTTTCTGGCAAATTCGCAGAGGTTGCAGAGGGTGAGTATCTTGACAGATCTGGAAACCGTTTTCCCATGTTAAAGAGTGAGTTTTGTTCCTTGTTTATTCAGGGAGAGTTCAGCGCTGCATGTTAAGTGGCTGCTGTATAGCCWCGGTTTGTCACTAGGGGTCAGGAAAATGCTGGAAAACTGGGGATGTCCCTGAAACCGCAGCCTCTTGCAGGAGGGCTCAGGATGAGGGATCTCAGGAACCCGCCTAATCCCGAAAACCAGGAGCGCTTCCTGGCACTGCCAGCTCTGCCAAAGTGTGGCTGTGCTTGGCAAAGCAAGTCTTCAGCTGCACCTTCGGGATCGAATTGTTTGCTGTGAGAAACATCTCCAGGTCCTTCGGTGTGTTCCAAAACATCGGTGCCGCTGCTGGGACAGGCTTGCATTGAGGATGTCTCTCCAGCCAGATTGCTGGAGATCATGGAGTTGTTTGGGTTGGAAAGAACCTTAAAGGCCATCAGTCCCWCCCCYTGCCTTGGGCAGGGACACCTTCCACTGTCCCAGGTTACTCCAAGMCCCATCCAASCTGGCCTGGGACACTTGCAGGGATGGGGCAGACACAGCTTCTCTGGGCAACCTSTTCTAGTGCTTCTCTACATTCACAGGGAAGAATTTCTTCCCAWTATCTCAYCTAAATCTCTCCCCSRTTAGTTTAAAACCATTCTCCTTTGTCCTGTCACTTTAGYTCCTGATGMRGAGAYCCTGTCTAGCTTGTAGATCGCCATTGCAACAGGCCCAACTAAAAGATTGTCCACATAGAATTTGGCTGCCATTGCTGTTTTCAGATCCTGGAAGTCCTAGGGTTTTATTCCCTACTTTGCAATTGCAGGAAAAAAAGCAGTAAGGGGACAGGAGAGGGGACCCTGGGTGTGGATGTAACAGTGCAGTCTGCCTGTACAAACGTTTTATTGGGCAGGATTAGAGAAGGTGGGGAAGCTTTTGGGCAAAAAACCCTCTGAGCAGAATCAGAAACATTAGGCTACAAAGCCAGGGGAGAACAGTTGCTCAGAGATTAGTAAGGTATTTAATTCCTGGGGATGGCTAGAAGGAAGGAGCCACTGCAACATGCAGGAGATGGTGAGAAGAGTGATTGCCTTGGAGGCAGGCAGCTTATGGGCTGAGGTGCTAGAGGGGACAGTGGCTGACTCCAGGATCTTTGCAGTGAGGTAGAGTAGTGAATTTTATTTCTTAAATCTGCCTTTGGACAGTAGTAGCATTTTTTTTTTTCTCTCTGATCAGGGCTGAGAGAGCAGAGTGGGGTATTTTTTTTTTTGGTGAGAAATGGTCTCTTGCTAGCTGCGGGTTGTGCCTGTCTCTCACAGTTTGTGTGTGGGAGTGTTCTCGGGTGCTTAGCTTCATCTCCAGCTCTCCCAGGAGGGTGGCAGGTGAGCTGGGGACATGTGGAAACTCACTGCTGGAAGCATGGGATGGTATCCAGGCATGGAGCATGTTGTTCAGGGAGGTGCTGGAGATATGTTGTCAAATTTTTCATTTTTGTTAGTGCAGAAGATGCTATGGAAACTCATGATATTCATGTCAGGTGCAGTGCTGATTTTTTTTCCCTTGTTAGCATTAAACATACTCTTTTGATGAGGTTACTCTCTTATTTACATTACCACCTCTTTTCCTCCCCAGCCTAATGAGCTTTGTGCTGCTTCTCACAAACTGAATTTGTCTGCTCTGCTTGTTTTTGCYATTAGTGGGAAGGACCACTGGACCATGCTGTCTGCACTGTTTGTTCAAAGCAGGATCAGAATTAATGGGAAAATTGTGTACGTGGCAATCTGAAGAACCCAAAATGCCACTATGCCTCACCCACCGGGGGCAGCAGATGAGATAATGGAGCAGCTCGCTTCAAAGTATGGGGACAAAGAATTCCTGAGGAGGGCAGAGATGAAACGCTACAAAGTGTCATTGATTCACAGCCTGGGCTGGGAAGTTTRTGGATGTGCTACAGCAAAATGGAGCTCTGTGTGATTGCAGCCGGCCCCTGCAACAGCTGTGTCTTGCTTGGAAGGGTTTGGGGCTCAAAAGGAGGGASCTGTCAGGACATGTCACTCCTGCTGGCTTGTTTCAGCTCTTAGACTTCTACAGACATCCCTCTGAAGTGCTGTTGAAGGTTGTCTGAGTAGCGCCTTGGATTCATCTTGGAAATTACTGCTCAGTGTTTACGACCTTGCAAAGCCAAAATGTTGGAGCTGGGGGACAGAAAGGAGAAAAGGGGGGGTAGTTGTTTCTGACCCAGAGCAGAAAATCACTGGTGCTGTGAGCTCCTGGGGGACATTGCTTAGTGGCACCAGCTGTCCTGTGTTATCATCTCAGACCTAATGTCCTGTGGCAAGAGAGCTTTCACTGGCAATTGCTGCTGCTGCCTGCTCGAGGCACCCTAGGGAGTGAAGATGTTGGTGACAGTGCTGTAGTGCTGGGAAGAARGACTGTGCTGGGAAAGAGATCTGACTAATTTTCTGGAGGGGTCTGGGTTTAGATTAGATGGTAGGAAGAGTTAGATGAGTTATTAGGAAGAAATTGTTCCCTGTGAGGCTGGTGAGACCCTGGCACGGGTTGTCCAGAGAAGCTGCCCCATTCCTAGAGGTGTCCCAGGCCAGGGTGAATGGGCCTTGGAGCAACCTGGGAAAGTGGAAGGTGTCCCTGCCTGTGGCTGGAGTTTGGAACTGGATGGTCTTTAAAGTCCTTTTCAACCAAAACCATTTGGGGGTTTTGTGTACTGCAGGATTTCTGTCAGCCATGAGTCYCTCCCTCAGAAGATCCTTGTCCTCATGCTGGTCACAGAGAGGAGAGGAGCTGAAGCATGTCCCACAGGGGCAGGCAGTGTTTGTTCATGGGATGGGAGGGTGTGATGGGGAATCCGCCTATGATGTATTATCGGGTTAGAGGGAGCTCATCAATGGCTRCTTTCCCCTCCTCAGCCACCTGCCTGCAAAGGGAAAAAGGAACAGACCCCGTGGCCAAGGGCAGAAGAAGAGGGAGAACAAAACAGGAACTTTTCTCCCTGAATTCCTATTTCCATTGTGATAACAAAAAGGATGAACAGCTCAGGACAAATGGTATTGCCTACTATGGCAGCGAACACTAAAGCCAGCAGGATCKAACTGCAGCCTTTGGGCAGCAGCAGCATCACTCAGCCAAGGGGAGGGTTTTGCTCCAGGTATTGATCAGCAGTTTACAACAAACACCCAGCATGGCAATAAATACAGGTTCTGTGGTGGTGCTGCAGCCCGGAGCCTGAGGCCAGAGGAGCTCTGYGATCACTCAGCTGTCTCTTGTGATGCACAGTGGAGCAGGAGAGGCTGATTCACTCCTGGTGACCGCAGCTGCTCTGCCGCCTGAAGCAGGTAACTGGCAGATGCCTTAAATCAGCCCAAAGGAACTCCTCATGCCACAGCTCCTCGGGGAATTCASTCTTGCTTTGGTGGGCAAATTCAGCATAGGGCAGGAGGGAGAACTGTGCTGTTTAAAAGCATTTACAGGTTTGGGCACCCTCCTGGTGGCACTGCAGCTCTGCAGTGCACAGATGTGGCTGTTGGAGGGGGAAGGAGTGAGAACTCACCTGGTGCGTCTTACCCACCTCATSTCCACAGCAAAATTTGGGATCTGAATTGTTGTGTCTGGAGCTTAGGTGTGGATTGCAGCATYAGGCTCCCATTTTGATTAGTGGTGCATAGCTTTCATCAGTTAATTAATGATGTAAAATACCTGCACTGTGGGCTACCAGTGAGAATCTGACTCTAGGTGCTGCAGTTCTGGGTCATGTTTTGGGTGCAGTTCATTACCAGGAGGGAGGAGTTGGGGAGAAGTTTTTTTGTTGTCTTTGTGGTACCATCTTCTGATGAAATTTGAGAAACAACCTGAGACATACTCCTGGTTTAGTTTAAGGGACTYTAGATTGGCTTTTATTTCACTTGCTTCCATTTAAACTGCTGGCAGATTTAGTGCATGGAATTGTGTTTTTTCCTTCCAGAGCTTAAGAAAGGGTATTTTAGATCTTGTGGAAAGCCAGCAAAATGGGGAAGAGGCCAGGATCTTTCCCCTCTTTGCCCTGTTCCTCTGTCATCACTGGCAGTAAGCATGGTGCAAAACCCACCTATCTTATTTTCCAAACCTCTGCAGCCAGTGATCAAGTCTGCCATATCAACAAAAAGCATGAAGACCTTTGCTTTCTGCTGAGGCAGAACAATAATTTGTGGCTCAGGCATGACTGAAATGTTAGATGCCAAAATTATGACCACTCTGTCAMATTGGCTGGACAATTTTTACTCCTAAACCTTCCACCAAGATGATTTTCAGTGCTTAGAAATTAGTCTTACTCTGCAGAGCTGTCAGTGTCTCCCAGCTGTGTCAGTGTGTGCTCTAACAAATGTGTGTATATGTGATACAGCTATTTCATCATCATTCCCTGCACTCCTCCAGACACCTGGGAAGCTTATCATAAGTGCAGCTCTCCTCTCCCAGGGGTCACTTTTGTTAATTCRTTTTTTGGGTTGTTTTCCAGTAGCGTAGAAAACTTCTATAACAAGCTGCTTGTTGTGGGTTTTTGGTTTTTTGTTCCTAAGGTGTGTAGGCACACAGGGAGAGAGATTTTGTGTTCTTGAGTAGGATTATGCTTCAAATGGATGGGGGGGAGGTTTCATTTGTAGAGGCAGGAAACTGAACAGAGGAGAAATGGAGACCTCAAAGAGTTTACGACTCAATTCTCAGTAAAAGATTATATCCTCAAGAGGTAGAAAGTTGTTGCAGAGGGGGGCTCTGCTGAGTTCACATCTGAAAGGGTGCAGATCCCCTTGCAGAAAGGGAACAGCAGATCCTTTGGGAAAAGGAGCATCCGTCTGCTGATCTCTTCCAGCAACGACCCACAGCCATGATCAGGGTCACCTCTACCCCCACTGGTCCTCCCTGAGGACTCCTGGCCCTGCAACAACACATCCCTTCCTGGCAGGGGGTGAGGGATGCAAAAAATCCATCTGGAAGAGGTTTTTGCCTTTGTTACTTGTAATGAAGGTGAGCTGTAAGCCCACAGTTGCCTCATCCTTTTGGCCATGCTTCCCAACTGATTTGGGTTCTATTATTAGTAGCTGATGTGCTGGTGGAGTCACTCTCCTCCTAACTCTGCTAATTAATCAACGTGCCCYGTGACAGCTCCTGGCCATTAAATAATATTCATTAGTATCCAGACCCCAACAGTATGGATGAACCCATCTATCTTCATTAGCTCTTGGATTTCAACATCAGGAGCAGGAGCCAAAAGGGACAGTAAAAGGGCACTTTTCATCCTTATCCCAGTGAAAACTGACCTTGATGATTTTCTGCCTGTTGTGTGTTGGTCAGAGGAGAAGATGGGTAGTAGTTTCAGCTCCTCTCCTAATCCCAGGTGATTATTCTTTAGGAAAAAGGAGACAGGGTGCTCTTTAAAGGTGGTAAATAATATGATTATCTTCATTTTGTAAGAAATAAGAGAATGTCTCTTGGGTCATGAGGGAAAGTGAAGCTCAACGTATATCAATGCCCGAATTACCTTCCTTCTCCTAACAATTAACTTGGCCAGTGGTGAAAGCACTTCTGCACACAGGTAACCCTAAATTTGCCCAACCTGTATGCACAGCTCAAAACCAGGAAGGAGGAGYTACACTTCTTGTTAACATTTCCCAATGCAGCCAAACATCTGGTGTTTTCCTGGGAAGCCACAGCTGCATGCTCACCCTTGCTCCCCAAAATGAGAGGGTATGGCTGTCCTTGCTCATCCCTGAGGTTATTTCCTGAATGTTCCTGCAACGTGGCAAATACTCAGTCATGTTGGGAAGTGGTGTCATTTCCTTCCTGCCAGGTGAGTCTGCCCCAAAGCAATTCCTCCTTTTGTCAGATTAATATGATCTAGGTTGGAGAGCCAAGAGGACTCAGAGAGGCCTCCTGAGATGTTGAAGTTTGTCCCCTGCTCTTGGGTTATACAATACGATCCTCTGGTCCCCCATGGATGTCCTGGGGGTGGTGGATTTGTCCTCTGTTAGCAATCCCATGGATGACCCAGGGAGGGACTGTGCAGTGGACAATTTCCCAATGTCTCTCAGACCTTTTGGGCCTTGCTCCCCACAGAAATGTGGGTTTTGGAGATGAACAAGAGATGACATTTTTGCTCCTCAGTCTGCTGTACTCAGGCTTTTGTGGTTTKCTCTCTCATTTTCCTGTAGTGTTCCTGGAATTAATTTTGTTCCCTCCTCCTGCAGATCTTCACTTGGATCCACCTCTGTTGATATGGGTCTGCTGAGAAGATGAAAATCAGTCATTTGCCTGGAGCCACCACTGTAAGTTATTTATACAGTGATTAGTTAAAGCTTCAGATATTTAATGCAACCTTTAAATCACATAYCCACCAACAGCAATTGGTCATATAAAACTTCATTGAGTGGTATCTATCACTTACTGTTTTTCTCAATATGTGCATATATTTAATCTTCCACAGGCCACTTGCTGATATTTTCTGCTGAGGAACCAGTAAATTGAGGGGCTTCATAATGTGTTTTGTTGCATGGCTCTGAGTGAATCACTTGTAAAGGGAGCATGGAATATAAAAATTCATCTTGCAAGGAAGTTGCCCTGTTGGATGAATCCTATCTCTATGTTAAAACAGGCTCAAACCTTAAAATTWAATGCATTTGCRCAAGAKGAGTAGTTAGTAAAGGYACTTCCAGCCAGCCAGCTTCGAATSTTCAACCCGGTTAGTTTTGCTTCWGCTTTTTCCTTCTTYTGCCTCRGATTGTGGGACAACACCTGCTTWGTGGCAGGGAYTCAACTGTAAACACTTGAATTCARWGRTATGGTCAAAATTTAATGGTTTTAAATTGGCTCAGGAGAGCCAAGTTCTTAAGCTTAACAGAGGAAATGGAACTTGAAAGAAACATGGGTAGAAATGTAAAGCTGAAGTCTAACAAACTTCATTTTTGAAAGAAATGGGAATTAAAATAAATGAGACACGATTATACCTGCATCTAATAGCAAGAGAATATTCCAGCTGTGGAAGCTGGGCTGAGCCCAAAGCAGTACAGGCCGTTGAAGGTGAAGCATTTGGGCACCTTATCTCACCCACTGTGGTCAAGAGAGACMGCTTGAATGAGTCTCAAGGGGTGTTCCAGACCCTGGGTGTGCTGAACTGCCCTGCCAGGGTGTGTCCATGACCTCAGCTGGACAGTGGCTGGCACTGGGAGCAAGGAGCCTGGCAGTGGGTAGGTTCAGTGCCAACCTACAGACTCAAGTGCTTCTGTGCCTGTCTCRTCTTCAACTTGGATTTGGGATTTCTCTCATCCTGGAGGCAAATCTGCCACTCATTTCTGTGGCAAATCAACTTCAGGCAGAGTCAGCTGCTGCTGTTGCTACAGTGAAAGGCCTCAGTCTTAGCCTATGCTGTAATTAGGTCATTAATTAAACACTCTCTGAATATTTCCTCACCATCTTTTTTGAAATAAGGATGGAGCCAGAGTTCCCTYTGGCTGAACTGTACTTAGTGGGGCTGAGTGACAGAGTGTGGCAGGTAAAGGTGATGGAGAGTCCTTCCTGTGCCTTCCCACACAGCTGTGAGTACTTCACTCCAAGTCTCATTATAAATAGGGGCTTGACCTCTTTTCAGCTGCAGTTAAAAGCAGTGTAGCCCCTTCCCAGCATTGCTGGGCATGAGGAAAAGGGGAAAACACATCCMTGGACTTCAGAGGACCTTTTCCAASWGAGAGTGAGCTTCTGCTGTATCTGAAGTTCAGAGGCAAAGACTGTCTCAATACACAGTGTTTAACTTTGTCCAATTCCTTTCCCATTTTCTGCAGTGATAAAACTCCTATTGCTCTTTCATCTCTCCCCTTTTTTTCCCAAGTAGGTTCTGTGAAAGCAGTGTTTGGGGGCAGTAAATCACAAAATGGAAGCCTGCGTTCATAAAATGCTTTATGCCTCCCTCCATCAATATTTCAACGTGCAACACAGACGCCAACATTTCATTTTAATTACRCCGCAAATTTCCTGGCCGAGGGAGAAAGCTGAACTCTGCAAAGCAGCCCAACTCCGTCCCCATCCCCTCCTTGCCRTGGGATCCCCGCAACATCCAATTATCCACAGGTTTTGTTCATCTGAGTCATGGGGCTGTGTGCATGCCCGGTGCACGGGAGGAAGGCTTCCAGCTGGGCTGAGACTGGCCTGGCTCCTTTCCTTGCCCTGGGGTGAGAGGAGCTCTTGGATGTGTCTGTGGGAGCTGGCGCGTTGCCTGGAGCCCTCCAGCGGGGAGGAAAGGTGATCCAGCACAAACAGAAGGTTTGGGAAGATAGGCTCTGACTGTGATTAGGGGCAAGGAAGGGCTTCCCTGCTACAGCAAGTGGTGTCACGTTGTTTAAATTGTCTCCTTCTTAAGTCTCAAGGACTGTTGCCGTTTGCAGAAGAGCTGAACATAATTGAGATGTTCGAGTCACTGAATGACTCTGGCAAGTCACCCCGTGCCCTCTTGTAGCCCTTTTTGAGAGGATTAAGAGATGGTCACCTGCAACTGAGTGGCAACACAGGAATCAATAGTTGTTCGCTCAGTTATTGTGCAAAACTCCTTGCCAGAATCACAGAGAGTTTGGGTTGAAAGGGACCTTAAAGCTCATCTTTTTCCAATCCCCTGCCACAGGCAAGGACACCTTCCACTAGACCAGGTTAATCCAAGCCCTGTCCATCCTGGCCTTGAGCACTTCCAGGGATGGGGCAGCCACAGCTTCTCTGTGCCAGAGCTTCTCCACCATATGAATAAAGAATTTCTCCTAATATCTTATCTAACCCTCCCCCTGTCAGTTTAAAACAATTGCCCCTTGTCCTGTCGCTATCAGTTCATATAAAAAGTCACTCTCCTTCCTTTTTATACTTCCCCATTTCWGTGCTGGAAGGGGCTCTTGGGTCTCCCTGGAGTCTTCTCCAGACTCAAGAACCCCGTGTCTCCCAGCCTGTCTTCGGGGCAGAGGTGCTTCAGCCCTCAGAACCTCTTTATGGCTGCTACGGCTGAGTCCCTGCCAAAAAATCCACTGCAGATGTTCTCAACACACAGCACTCACAGATATGTGAGGCAGCATAAAAATCCACACGACAAAATGTGGATGGAAACAGGGAGAYCCCTAAAGGAAAGGAACTATGTCCCTCGTGGTGGTGCTGTTCCATCATTGTCAATTAGCAGGAGTGTTAAATCTGTAGCAGGCGGTGGGGGTGTGACTGGAGAGAGGGCACCAAATGGGATGGTTTATCAGTGTAATTCAACATGACAATTCCTGTGCTGTATCGTGAAGAGGGTGGGAAAGGTGGGGAGAGGGAGCAGCACCTGTGACACACACAAATGCTAACTGGAAGTGAAAAAGGCATTCATTCCTTGTTAGCACATCCAGACGTGAGCAAACTGATTTATGTAACTTCCCAAAGCCTGGCTGCTGCTGCTGYCCGCAGAACCCTTCTGAAAACACACATCCAAATTAAGATGCCACGCGGCAGATAAATKGCTCCATGTGGAAACTTTGTTTGCAAAGTCGACGTTTTTGCAACAGCCTTATTTAAAGCCCTTAAAAAAACCCCRAACGCGCTGTGTGGAGAAACAAGTATCTGTGTGGTACTGGTACCAAGAGATGCTTTTGGGGCAACAGTGTCAGAGAAAACCGAAAGTCACAGCAGCCCAGGCTTTCATGGACAAGAGTTTGGCATCTTTGGATACGGTTTCACTAAAATAATTAGTCCAGGCAGCACCAAAGAAATGATTTAACAAATGAATCACCTGCCTGAGCCCAGCAATTTGGGATTCTCTAATTGAGGGCTACACGTTTTGAGCTGAGAGGAGGAATGTGGGATGTGTTATGCTTCACCCAACATCTTAATGCAGCATTTCCTCTGTGAGGGAAGGTGTGAGGAGTGAAGTTAAAGCTGTGATCCTTGTTTTTTTCTTTCTTCCTAGGACTAGTGATTCCCTTTTACTCAGAGCTACAGCAGACTTGCAGAGAGGAGCTCTCAGATCATGTTATCCACAGGATAATGGGAATTTCCCTACTCTGTATGTGTACACAGTGCTCAAACCACGTTAGGGCAAGAATAGCTGCTAATTTGGAGAGCCTCTCCTAGGATCTCCTTGAATTTCCTCTAAAAGAGGTTTCCAGGAATCCTCTTTTAGAAAAATTAATCTGGTTGGAGGTGAGGGCGAGGTAAGGGCAAGGCAGAGGGCCCTGAAAGAAGGTTGATTTGCAGGAAAACTATAATAGCTCAAAAGGTAAGTCTTCATCTGCCTGTAGAGGGTCACAAGGGCTGGGAGCTGGTAGAAGRCTGTGCCATGGGATCAGAGTTAGGGGCAGCACCAAAAAGCATTTCTGAAGAGGTGGGAACTGTAGTCCTGGTTGTTAGCRAGGAATATTGCCTTGTGGTCTTGAGACAACACAGACTATCCTAACAACCAGTGGTCTTGAACGGGAGAAGTTAAGAGCTGGAATTTATCTCTCCTCACAGGAAATGAGTGCTGGCAGGTTTGGGTTGATCTGGAGGAGAAAAGTGTCTGGATGGGCAGAGTTGTTTGCTAGGTGAATTTGCCACCCTGCATGGTGCAGCAGTTGCTGTAAGTCAGTCCTAAAGAACCTGTGGCTGATGAATGTGGCCTGTACGTGGATTTTTGGGGTGAGACCTTTTGGCCCTGAACAACTGGACCGTTAGTGAGGAGAAAAGGAAAAATGGCAGTGCTGTCTGAGTGCCTGCTCCCAAATACACACGGACACAGAAATAAGCAGAGAGGATCTGCTTACAYGGTTCTGAGTTTGCTATCCTTGGATCCTGTTTGAATACACTCTGTCCCTGAGTTGTTTTGCATTTCACCAGGGAGTCTTTTGTCTAAAGGGCATCGCTGCTAYAGCAGAGTGGAGCTGTCCCTGCCCCTGCTTTCTCCAGTGGATATCACATTTCATTACCCTGATGAGCCTGAGCGAGTTCTGCCGCTTGTGTTAATTTGCCCACAAGCCAGCCTGTGTCACGTCCTCAAGAAGTCGGTGACATTTTCCAGCCTCCCCCATCCCTCCCGGTTCCGAAACCTCGAATAATAATCACAGCCTTGTCCCTTTTCCTATGTCTTGCTTCTGAAGTGGAGGGGCTGAGCCACCCCTTGCTCTGCATTCGGACACTGCCAGCCCTGGGCTGTGTAACTGTGGGAAGCATCACCCTCTCAGGGCTCTGTGTGCTGTCCAGGGGGGCTGCCAGGGCGAGCAGAGCTGGGTGATTTGCACAGCCTCAATTTTGGCAGTTTGGAGCACACCAGTGTAGCAGAATGAGGTGGCTG